CGTACGCTCTGGCTCGTCGGGATTTGGAGAATGATGAAGCGCCTCCGCTACACCCTCCCCTCCAAGCCCCTGCGCCGGCTCTCGATCCCCCTCAAGACGCTGCACAGGAGGCGGCGGCCCCGGAGGGTGTCGAAATCGGCAATCACGCGGTGGACAACAATGATGATGACAATTCCAATAGTGACGCGGAGCTTACCGGCAGTGATAGTGATATGATCGACAGTAGCGGTGCCAGTGGTAATGGCGATGAAAACATTGAAATGGATAGGGAGAGTGAAAACAATGGTAGCACTAGTGACGGTAACAATACTGATATTGACGGCCAAAGTGACGATAGTGGCAGAAATAGTGATGATGATGATGATAGTGACAATATCAGAGACGGTGATGACGATATGCCAGACAGTGATGACGATATGACAGACAGTGATGATGACGATTATGATTACGACAATCGTGGTAATGACAGTGATGACGACCGTGAATTACTTACTCGATTGGCAAAGTGGAGTTTACAGTACTCTATAACGCTCGAGGCAACCACAGCACTTCTTGCAATTTTGAGGGACGATCACCCAGAACTTCCGAAAACAGCAGAGTGTCTCAGACGCACTTCCAAAAGGCGTTTGGAAGTCAAGGAACTTGACAATGGACAATATGTGCACCTGGGGTTTGATTCTCTTTTTAGTGGCATTGATCCAACTCGTGTTGAGGGCGGTGTGCTGGAAATAGACTTTGGAATCGACGGCTTGTCCATTTTCAAGAGCACTGGAACTGAGTGTTGGCCTATTTTAGCCAGGTGCGTAGCGGGTGACGTCGTGGCACCTGTTGTCATAGGCATATTCTACGGTAGGGGTAAGCCTACACCAATTCGTCGCTACCTTCAAGACCTAATTGACAATATTCAAGAGTTATCTCAGAACGGTGTGGTTATTGGCAATAGACGATTCGAAGTGTCCGTGAGATGTTTCATATGTGATGCTCTTGGCAGAGCGTACTTGCGATGCTGTAAGGCGAATAGCGCCCTGAATGGGTGTGAGAAGTGTGATCAAGAAGGCTACAAAATTGGTCACATCACTGTGTTTCAGACTGTTTCGGGTGTGCTTCGGACTAATGACTCCTTCAGAAATCAGAATGACCCTGATCATCATAATGCAATTTCTCCTTTATTGGACCTTGACATTGATTTGGTGTTGTCATTCCCACTAGACCCGATGCATTTGGTTGAATTAGGTGTTATCAAGAGATTCGTTGACTTTATTCTAGAAAGAGGGAATCTGAATATTAGACTGTCACCTCTGCAAAGACATCTATTTGATACCTTTATGATTGAAGTTGCCCGCTTCCTACCGTGTGAATTTAAGCGTAAATCGCGATCTCTGACACTTATGAGTAGATATAAAGCTGTAGAGTGGCGTCTTCTTTTGCTGTATCTCGGCATTATAATTTTCTCCAGAATCCTGCATCCGCAATTGTATAGGTGTTTCCTGTTGTTACATGCCTCCTGCTTCATTATGAGCAACGATGTCTTAATACATAATTTTCTTCCCCTCTGCCAGAATTATCTTGAAAATTTTGTAGCTTTTAGCTCTGCCATTCTTGGCCCAACATTTGTCGCCTATAACGTGCATAACTTATTGCACTTGGTTTCTGACGTCCAGTTGTATGGCAACTTAATGTCTTTCAGTGCCTATCCTTTTGAGAATGAACTACGCCACCTTAAAAGACTAGCTAAAAGTGCACCGCTACCCTTGCAGCAAATCTGTAAGAGGGTGATCGAACGAAATAGGCTTCACGTCAAACGAAGAAAGAAACAGATCCGTGGTTTTCAAATGCCACATGAAGAAGGTCCTGTAGCACATCTAGAAAATGTTGTTCGACAATTTTGCAAATATGAGTGTGAAGATTTCACACTAAGAAGACGGAGACCTGATAACTGTGTGTCGTTCCGAAATGGACAGATTGGGCTAGTCAGAAATATTGTAGAATGCGTCAATAATGGCCTGTCATCATTTCATGTCGTTGTTCGAGTTTACTCGACTTCTGAGAACCTGTACGACTATCCCCTAGAATCGAGCCTCTTGGGCATTTTTAAAGTTTCCAATCTCACCCCTGATAATTTTGTGTTCAATATCGGGGACATCAGTCACAAGTGCCTTCTTATTCCTTCCCAAGGGTCCAATGTGTGTATTCCTCTACTTCACAATTTTCAGTAAGGTAAGTTACTTGGCTGTATTATTAAATACCTTTAGTGCATGTGCATCCCAATCCATTCATGCCATGTGGGTGTAGGTAAGGTGCCCGCCCTTTTACAGTAGTATAATTTAGTTGTTCACGTAGTGTCACGTAGATCTGTTCCCTCTGAGCCCACAACAATTTGAGTGCAAAACAAACTAATATCCATATTTCAGCCATTGCATCTGCGCTGTGCAGCAACTAAGTGGTGCATCTGCTACTCTTACTGCGTTCCTCAAAACTTTGAATTCCTTTTCAGGGCAAATTTTGTATAGTAGACTTCTCCAGAGAGGATGGAAAATTTGAAACATCTGTAGTGCCCCAATCATGGGTAAATGAGACAAGCACACATTGCGCATGGCCACTGAAGTACAACAAGTCACTCCTAAAAAAGGGTCCAGACCCGAGATGGCCCAGGCATCCAATAGTTTTGAGAGGAGTGTACGGTAAGATCGCTTGGGACTCGTCTCACACGAGTCTTGAACAAGCTGCAGAAATGAATTCTCAACGAGGCTTCGCTTTCCTGTTTGACCATACCGTAATTATTACAGATAATCACGACGATGCGCGAGTGATGCTTCGCCAAGCAGTAGCCAACAGCAACCTGGAAGAAGAAGAAGAAGAAGAGGGTGGTAGTTCTAAACGGCGTCGTCGCCATGTTAATAGGCCATCCAGGTACCTCAGCACTTCTGAGGATGGTGGGACTTGTAAACAATCATCGTTGAAGCAAAAGAAGACAAAAAGTGCCCAGTCTTCTACTGTCCCTACAGCTCCTGTTGTTACTGCTGTTTCTGCAACAGTGGTAAAGCCAACTTCTGCCCTCACTCCGAAACCGTTAGAATCCTCATCCTCTGCTGTGGCAAAAGGTGATCATGCATAATTAATACTTTCCCTGCATGTTTTCTGGGGTTATATTTACTTCAATACTGTCCCTAGGTACTCCGATCCCTGACATGACCCCTATTAAATCAATTAAGGGTATCAAGACAAATCGGAACACCCTTTTCTCTTCTTTGAATAAAGGTAATCATTAATAATTTTACCTGTCATAATTGTGGGTTTAATATTTCTTTTAATACGTTTTGGCTTCTATTCGCAGTATTGACGACATCTTGTGACGCCAGAGATACCGTGTCGGAGAGACACAGTTCAGATTGTGACCCAATGCCGAACCTCAATGGCGATGGACCCTCGAGTGTCAGATCTGAGCAAAGTTATGATGAAGGTAATGTGTTGACTAATTTGACTATTTATTGTTTTACTATTGTTTTATATTGGACTCCGCTACGGCGGAACAGTAGAAAAGAATTACCCCCCCCCCTCCCCTCTCACTTTCGGGGCCCATTCCCCGCTATCTGCCCTGTCAGGGCGATCTGAACGGCGCGCACGCCTCTTCAACTTCTAGTTTAATTCTTCTACTTGCGGTCGATTGGATCCGGGCAGTCTGGCGTTGTGCCCAATAGGATATCTCAATGAAGCGCTGCGCGGAACTAAGAAGAACAAAAACGGATACAGAGAGCGGTAGGGGGCGGGCGCGCGTAGGAGCGTAAGGCGGGCGGGGAGGCAGGGAAGCTTCCCTCCACTCGCCGCTCCTCTGCGCGCCCACTCCCACCACCGCTTTCTACTGTATCCGTTTTTGTTCTTCTTAGCGCTCCATTGCTATATCCTATATTGCCATATTTTCATGTTGTTTCTGGTATTCGTTTTTACAGGAGTTTTAATGGAACCCCTTGGATCCCCTGACTCTGCACCATTAGTGCTCTCACTTGGATCAGATGGTACTCTTGTTGTGGATACTAATCCCCTCCCTGTAGGCTCCACAGAAGTTAATGTGGGTCATGGAGGTGGTGATGACAGCTCTGGCGATATCCAGGATACAAACAATCATGGCGCTGGACAAAAGTCCGTGCCTCCTGCTACAAGGCACGAAGAGCAGCCACAGTCAAGTAATTCTACTCTCCCAGCAGGTAACAAAAGCAGCACAACTACCCCAGTTGCGCAAACGCTGTGTGCTTCAATGCGCGTACAAATACACAGAAAAGGTGACTCGACTCATTGGTGACGCTTTTAAAGCGCATTCCAACATTTAATACGCATTGCGCGCATTATTTAATGTGTCACTAATGTGTCACCTTGTGCATTTCTGTGCTCATTGAAGCGCATTTAATGTACTGGCGCTTCTTGGGTACATCTTGACAGACTGCATTATACGTCCAATCTTAAATGCGCCTATAATACGCCTAAAGCGTCTAAAATTCGTATATAATGCAGTCATTACGCAGTCTTGCTACCAGGGCAATATTGTTTGTTCGTAGTTAAGTAGTCCAAGTTTATAAAACATTTTCAGCATGTTTGTTTTAAATTGCAGGGGCAACAGCACAACCGTGCAACTGTATGTACAAGGTGCTGGTGAAGCTGAACCACATTAGTCTCACGCAGAGAAATCACACTCGAATGCTGGAAAGGCTGATGGCTCACAATGGACTGGTTGCTGAACAGGCTACTCCTGCGCCCCCCGGATGGCCCAAGAAATTGCCAATAAAAGATGTTCAACTTTTCCTTGAATTCGACCGACTTTTAACTAATGCGGACAACTATGCCTATGCCGTAAGTTCCTCGTTGCTCTCTGCATTCAAACTGTTAGAAACCCCGGACAAAGAAACAATGTTAATCTTGTTTTAACTATACACTGTAAACAATAGATCAGCCTCAAGTCTGGCTAGTATCGCATGGAGTTAATATCAAATGAAAATAATCAAAACTTTTTGTTTCAGATGAATTATTTAGAAAAAAATGCGTCGTGCCGAGACCCAAAGGAGAACACTCGTGAAGCGCTCAAGGCATTCATTTCCAATTCGCTGAAGAACCACCTCAACTGGAAAGGCACTACTCTAAAGTTTGGCATTGGAAAAAAGAAAATTGGTGAACTTGTGATCGGTGAGTGTATATGTGCGCGCCTGTGTGGGCATGTTTGGGCGCAACGGGGCCGTCATACAGTCCACTGCTAGCCCGTCTAAGAGGACCCGAGCTAGCTACGTTTATCCGGGGCCACGATGCATGTAGAGGCTTTTTTACATCGAGGTTGTGACTACACCCCCTCGCCGTTTCCCTCTGTCGACGGAGGCATAGGGCCGATATAGAAGATAGGGACAGTGGGATTCTGGCTGCAGTACGTTTATTAATATTTATTTGTATCTTTTGTCGTTCTAAATTCTAGAAGCTGTTAGGAAAACTCACAAGGACTTTGCCAAAAAAAAGATTATAACTGAAGCAAGTAGATGGCTGAGGAATAATATACCGAAGGAACAGGAAACCAGTGAAGATGACTCCAGTGAAGCAGAAGGGAGTAACTCCGAAGAAGAAGGCGAAGAAATGGAAATGGACTAGGAACCGGAAGACTGCAACGACTGGCATAGTTTGTTTTGTAACTTTTTTCACACTGGAAAATAAAATGTTCAACAGGCGTGCACATGCAAGTGCTCAACACAATGTTGCACACTTTGAAGTGTTTCACTGAATGTTTGAATACCATAAAGTGTTGAAGAGTAAAGTTGAACACTTTAAAGAGTCCAAAAGGTCATGGCCATCTCTGGAGTTGAACTTTACTGTTAAACACTTAATAGTGTTCAAATATCCAGCCCAACACTTGAAAGTGTGCAACATAGTGTTGAGTACTTGCATGGGCACGCGAGCTGAATACTTTATTTATCAGTACAGCGACACTTTTCTTTTTTTTTCTGTGTATTCCAAAAGTTGGTAGAAAATAATAATTTTTCACCAAATCATGTATGCTTATGCATTTCTTTCTCTCTCTCTCACACACACATAGGTATATATTTTCCGGAGCAGTAAAGAATGGGCCGCGAGTGCACCTTCAATGCACTCTGCAGGCGTGACTTCAATGCGTCGCAGGAGCACCTTGAATGCGCCTTGCGAATGCACGTGAAGTCCGCCTTGCAGGTACGCCTACAATGCGCCTCACATACTCTTGGACAAAAGCCTTTAATGCGGCTTACAAATGCGTCTTGAATGCGCCTTAGAAATGCGCCTTAAATGCG